TATGGTTGAGATTCAAAAAATATGATGACTTTCAATTTTTTCACTTTTATTAAAATTCCCCCCCCCCCCCAGCCTTCTCCCTGGAGAGTGCAGACGAAAATGTAAATACATGTACCTGGCTGTGTAGGGTCACACATAAAAACATCTTATTCAGCAATTAAACCCATGCTAATTTTTCTATTTTAATGTTAAGATTATTATTAAAAAGAAACATATGTTTTTTGTTATGGCAAATTTGCTGTTAGTTATGAAATATGCACATGAATTAACTTCTCCCAACTACCAAAAACGTCAAGTCATTTCACCTTGATTCTTTTGTTTAAAATAAAACCAAAACTCTTAATCGAACAAATCATAACTAAATAGATGAAAAAACTCTTCAATTCATAATTTTTTTGTCTATGCTTGCTACCTACATGTTGTAAAAAGTATGTTTCCATTGCTGTTACATGTTTTACTGTGTGCTACTCTTCTTGGAAATACATACTGTAGTAAGAATGTGCATTAAATTTATTTGAAGTCCTGAAAATTTGCAAAAAAAAAATACCTTATCTGGACTTAGAGATGTTGAATAATTTATAAACCATGTTTAAGATGTAAAATAACCTTTCAGTATAAAAAAGGCTTGTGTGCGGGAACCGAGTCCACTATTTATTATATTTGGCCCATTCCTGTTGCCCTTAAAATCAAGTGCGCCTAGAAGTATGACCTACTTAAAGATAGAAACGGTTTTGGTCATCAGTTTTTTATGGGCAAAGGAGTAATTTTAAATAATATATCATTTATAAGAAGAATTTTTAACTATAAGATAATTTTTCTTATTTTTCCTTAAAAAAGTGTACAAGACAGGGTACACTGGACTCTAGTCAGAAGCTGCCGATTTTAGTGTAAAAATTAAAAAAAGCAAATTTCACATTGAATATAGATTTTTGTAAATTAATGGATTGAAAAATCTTTAAATTTCTAGACTATCCCTGGGATATAAGATAATGTCCCAGACTATCCATAAAATTTACGGACAGTCCATAAATATTATGAAATACTAGACCTTATAAATGAACCACTACAGCCAGGGTTAATTTTGATGGAACATTTTTTCTTTATAACTTTTGTAAATGAATACACAAAATGTCACATGCAAAATATGTAAGGTGTTTAGGGCCTACAGTATGGGACAACAAACTTTTTATTTGAGGGCAAATATGTGCCCAATCGGTAAAATTATGGAGCTTTGGTAGCGTCTGTCAAGCGTAACACACTAGTTCCGATTTTCCGTCAACTCCCGTAACCAGTACCATACGGTACTAAAAAACTCTAAAGTTTGTGCATCCCGATGTGAATGATTTGTCTTTATTTTCAGTAATACAAACTGTGCAAGTCATTTTAATATATCCTCAAGGTACTTTATACCGGGAGGTACTTTGTAACGGGAATGTCCAGAAATTACAAACAATACTTACATAAAAAAATTCTTTTGTATGCAAGTGTTTTTCACATTAATTTTATACAAAATATAGCATTTTTTGAAGAAAATTCAAAGTTTTAGTAACCCTATTCACATAAATGTTTTTTACGTTTAAAAACCAGCAATATTGCTAACGATTTAGACCCAACATGATATTTTGAATGTGTGTGCAAATGCCTATCAAATTGTAACCCTTTTACTGTGTGATAACTGATAAATATTGAATAGAACTTTAGTATCATTAACAGTAATGGACCATTTACATATGTTTTTAACTTTTTATTGATTGCTTAAATGTCATTACTTAAAAACAACGATGGCTGCCGCTCATATGAGGTTATTAACAGAACCATCTTTTTGATGTATGGTTAAAATTTCTTGTGGATGATTGTTATTTTTATCAAAAAATGGTACCTTCTACAGAAAATAACTATTTTATCCTAGATTTTTTCTGTATTATACAATGGTGGGCCTTATAAGGCTTACACTCCCGGTAGATAGTACAACCAGGATACGAAAAAATCGCTTCGGAGCATTATCATTTTTCTTGGATTTCTCAGTTGTTTCAGCATTCGCCGATTGATTTGGTTGGGAAACCTCATTTGGTATAGGCGCAGAGTTGTTTACGGTAGATTCTGTCGCCCCATCAACGTTAACATTGTCTTTATTGACGAATAAAGTCAATCTTGGCTGCTTTTTTTTCGAAGCAGACATTTGTGAATTTACCCGGATAATGACGTCACAATCTGAAGCGCCTGAAGCGGCTTTTAACATGTTAATAATCACTAAGGGCGTCTAAGATAAATCATGTGACCAGATCAGGCTGATGGAAATTCATGCAATTTATAGAAAAAAATTTAATACTACGACGCTTCGCAAAAATATGCGTCACAGAAAAACACATGGCTATAATATTACCGCATCAAAAATGCAAAAAAGTACAAAAATGTACTGTGCAAAAACGCAGAAAAACGCTCTCTAGAGAAAACACTGCATGAAAGTAATGTAATTAAGTAATATGAATGAAAAACCAAAATAAAGCTTGAATACTAAAAGTTCTTATATATCTTGTATAATTGTGCTTTAAGTTATTTCATAAAGAGGTAATGACCTCAAATAATTTCATCAGCAAACGCAGGTTCATTCACATGTATGAAAGAAATTCCAGGCATGAGTTGTTTCCCTTTTTCATTAAACTAATAATTTTGAAGAAATTGCCATAGGTTTCTGGGGTATTTTCTTAGGCTTTAGCAAGTCCATTAAAAAGGGGCCCCAATCAAAATAAATATTCAGCAATTTTTAAAAAGAAGATTAACTATAAGAATGCTATTAAACAAAGTTTGGTGATCATCAGTAAAGTTCTGCAGAAAAAGCTGTCTAAAGGTTTATATCATTTTTTAGCTCCCCTTCCTTGACCCCTAAAAGGGGGGCCTATCAAATTAATATGAGCAAATTTGATTAAAAAACTACCTAAGAATGCTACAGACAAAGGTTTTGGTGATCATTCCATCAATTGGGGTTCTGTAGAAGAAGGTGTCTAAATGATTTTCTAATTTAGATCTAGAGGACCCCCTAAAAGGGGCCAATCAAATTAATATGAGCAAATTTGAATAAAAGACTACCCAAGAATGCTACAGACCAAAGTTTTTTGGTGATTATCCATTCAATTAGTTCTCTAGATATAGATGTTTTAAAGTATTTCTATTTCAAGGCTTTAGCAGCCCCTAAAAGGGGCCAACAAATTGATATGAGCCCAAACATGATTTAAAAAAGACTAACCCCTAGAAAGATACAGACAAAAGTTTGGCGATCAATCCATCCGATTAGTTCTGGTAGAAGAAGATGTCTAAATTTTTTCTATTTTTAGCCCATAAGCAGACCCCTAAAAGGGCCAAATCAAATTAAATATGAGCAAAAAAATTGATAAAAGACTTCCCAAGAATGCTACAGACAAATGTTTTGGTGTGAATCATCCATCCATTAGTTCTGTAAAAGAAGATGTTTAAAGGTTTTTCTATTTTTAGCTCTGTTGAACCCTAAAAGGGGCCAATTGAAATGGCATGAGCAAATTCAAGTGTGACTGTCACAAGGATGCTACAGACAAAATTTGAAGTAAATCTGTCCTGCGGTTTCAGAGAAGAAGACGATTGTTGACGCATGACGCCGGACGACGGAGTATCCCCCTTTGATACTAATAGCTCACCCTGAGCCTTGGGCTCTGGTGAGCTAATAATGACCAAAATATGATCCGAAACTGAATGAAAGCTATCATTAATAAGTTAAACAAGTTGGAGGGTAGATGAAATAAAATATATAGTATCATATAAATGTAACCATTCTGACATTTAAGGCCCCTGTGACCTTGACCTTTGATCTAGTGTCCCCAAAGTCAATAGATCTACTAGTTATGACCAATCATTATGTAAAATATGAAGACTTTGTGATACATAAATTTTCAAGATAATCAGCGAAAACCATTCTGACATCTAAGGTGTCTGTCACCTTGACCTTTGACCTTATGACCCGAAATCAATAGGGGTTGTCTACTAGTTATGACCAATCAGTAAGTGAAATATGAAGACTTTGTGAAAAATACTTCTCAAGATAATCAGCAGAAACTATTCTGACATTTAAGGCATCTGTGAACTTAACCTTTGACCTTATGACCCAAAACTAAATAGGGGACATCTACTGGTTATGACCAATCAGTATGTAAAATATGAAGACTTTGTGATAAATAGTTTTCAAGATAATCAGCAGAAACCATTCTGACATTTAGGGCCCCTGTGACCTTGACCTTTAACTTTGTGACCCGAAATCAATAGGAGTTGTCTACTAGTTATGACCAATCAGTACGTGAAATATGAAGACTTTGTGATATATAATTTTCAAGATAATCAGCAAAACCATTCTGACATTTAAGGCATCTTTGACCTTGACCTTTGACCTAGTGACCCAAAATTACATAGAGGTCATCTACTAATTATGATCAATCAGTATGTGAAATATGAAGACTTTGTGATATATAGTTTTCAAGAAAATCAGTGGAAACCATTCTAACATTTAAGGCATCTGTGACCTTGACCATCTTTGTTCTAGCAACCCCAAATTAAATAGAGGTCATCTACTAATTTTATGACCAATCATTATGTGAAATATGAAGACTTTGTGATTTATAGTTTTCAAGATAATCAGTGGAAACCATGTGGTCGACAGAGGGACAGACCGACCGACAGTCCGACCGACAGACAGACTGACGACCTACGTTTGCACAACAATATACCCCTCTTCTTCAAAGGGAAACATAATAAAAGTGCTCATCACACATGAACCAGTCTAAATATCAAAGCTTATACCACTTTGAAAAGTCTTTAGGTTAAAGAAAAAGATATTACACAGCTGTAGTTAAGATTGGTTATGAATTTTATATTTATGCAGATATTTTTCATGTTTAAAGGCAGTATACGAAAAGAAAGTGTCATATTATTACCCTTCATTATGCTATAAATGTAAACTATACTCAGAGTAACTAAACCTGGTGCAGGTGATCATCCTTTTCTAGTACAGAAATGTATACAGTTGAAATTCCTCCAATAGTTCCCTCAGTCACATATCTGTCTACGCCATTAAACAATGCGACTGGCACATCTCGATATGGGTACTCTAATTTTCCAGTGCCCAAAGCAGGAAATGCCACTGTTGAACAGCCTGCACTGTCTGCCAGAAGTAAACAGTCTTCTACAAACACCTCTAAATCCTTAAAAGAAAAACAATAGAAGAAATGTACAAATCAAAGTCATTTAAAGAAAAACAATAAAATATTTCTTTTTAAAGAAAAGTAGTAGTATAAGGGGAAGGAACTTCAGACTGCAACAAGTGTTGTTCTGTCCACATATAAATCAAACTTTGTACATAAATAAAAGAAATTATGACAAATTAATCAAATTTCAATTATTTGACCTTGAAGATCAATGTTGGACTTGACAGAAAACACCTTCACTAATAGGGTTTTCGTGTTGGAGACAAGGAAAAACAACGGAGAAGTTAAAAAACTCTTGAAAAAATGTCAAACATGTACGTAATTTGTCAATAAGTATCAGAAAGTTATTTTTTACATTTGCATCCATTGAGATTATCGTAGCGTACTAATTATTCAACATTTATATAAAAATGAAGTTGAAACAAGATTGCATTTGAGAAAAATGCTATGCCACCGCATGGTTCAAATTTCATAGCTGTACATCAAAGGACAAGAAAGTAGGTCACATCATCAAAATCTAGGTCAAAGTTTAATTTTACAATTAAAACTGTGCAAATGGTCAAAATGTCATTGCTGTACATCAAAGGACAAGAAAGTAGGTCACTGTCCCCTTGGGCAAGGCATTATTTTGACCCAAGGGTTTAATAACAAACTTGATACAGGTCCACCAAACAACATTTCAAGTCAAATATCTTAGCTGTAGCTTTCTCCCATTCAGAAAACATTTGTTTTATTTTCTGTTTTTACTATGTGTACATAATGAGAATCACTGACCCCGGGCAGGGCCAATTTTTGACATTAGAACAACTTTGGTAGAGGCGCTATAGATGATATTATATATCAAACATCAAAGCTCTTATAATGCCTTGAACCTTCAGACAAAAATTATTTTTTTCACTATATGTACATAATGAAAATCAATGACCCCCGGGGCGGAACCAATTTTGACCCCAGGGCTATAATTTGAACAATCTTGCTAGAGATTCACTACACAATGTTTCATGCAAAATATCTTAACTCTATCCTTTGTAAATTTAGAGAAGATGATTTTTTAAGCTTTTACTATATACATATAAGATAAACCTATGGCCCCAAGGGGCGGGGCTAATTTTGACACAAGAGGCAAAATTTGAACAACTTTGGTAGAGTACCTTTAGATGATATTATTTAACAAATATTAAAGCTCTAAGCCGTGTACCTTCAGACAATAAGATTTTTTCATTTTGTACTATATGTATAAATTGAAATCAATGACCCCCAGGGCGGGGGCAATTTTGACCCCAGGGCTATAATTTGAACAATCTTGCTAGAGGTTTACAACATAATGTTTCATGCAAAATATCTAACCTCTAGCATTTGTCAATTGCTAGAAGATTTTTTTTGAAGTTTTTACTATTTACATAAAAGGAAAACCAATGACCCCTGGGGCGGGGCCGATTTTGACCCCAGGGCTATAATTTGAACAATCTGGGTAGAGGTCTACCAGACAATGCCTTATGCAAAATATCTAAGCTCTAAGCCTTTTGAGTCTTTACAAGAAGGTGTTTTAAGTTTTTACTACATGTACATATAGCGAAAATCAATGACCCCGGGGCGGGGCCGATTTTGACCCAAGGGCTATAATTTGAACAATCTTGGCAAGGGTCTACCAGATGATGCCTTATGCAAAATATCTAAGCTCTAAGCCTTTTAGGTTTCTACAAGAAGGTATTTTAAGATTTTACTACATGTTCATAGTAAAAATCAATGACCCCCGGGGCGGGGCCAATTTTGATCCCAGGGCTATAATTTGAACAATCTTGTTAGAGGTCTACCAGACAATGCCTTATGCAAAATATCTAAGCTCTAGGCCTTTTGGGTCTTTACAAGAAGATTTTTTTAATTTATTCTTATAATTCCTTTTGGTTGCCATGGCAACCAGATTTCTGCATGGAATGAAATTCTTTGAACAACTTTGGAAGCCCTTCACCAAAGGAACAATCCTGCCAAGTTTGGTTGAAATTGGACTAGTGGTTTTTCACAAGAAGATTTTTTTAAGTTCACTATATAATCTATATAACACACACACAAACACACACACATACACAAAGGTGAATGGCTATATGCCACCGCATCGCAGATGCTGCGGTGGCATAAAAATCATGGAATACAGAGTACAGCTTTTTGTGCACGGCACTTCATCTCAATGAGATCTATCATCCCATGAAGTTTCATGTTCAAAACTTATATAGTTTAGGAGAAATGGCACACACAATTAATTTTGAAATCAAAAATCTGACATCTAAATCTAAAAAAATATTGTACACTGTCACCAAGAAAATTTTTTGAGTAAAATCATTTCAAAACTGAACCAGTGGTTAAGTTGTTGTTTAGATGTGGTTATTTTCTAATTTTAAATCTGGCAGCCATTTTGTTAAACAGTTCAGCCTGTCACTAAGTGAGAGGTGAGCTAAAAAAAAGATGGCAGGAAAAGAGAAGGAAAACAAACATTTGACATGGCTGGGGATTGAACTGTTGACCTTGATCCCCTGGGGTGGGGCCAATTTTGACCCTAGGGGTTTTATTTCAACAAACATGGTAGACATACACTAGAACATGTTTCATGCCAAATATCTAAGCTTTAGGTCTTAAGGATTTTCACAAGAAGATTTTTAATTAAGTTTTTGCTATAAACATGTATATAAGGAAAATCAATGACCCCTGGGGGCGGGGCCAATTTTGACCTTAGGGCTTTTATTTGAACAAACACAGATTTTTTTTATTATATACATAGAAGGAAATTCAATGATCCTGGGGTCAGGCCAATTTTGATCCTAGGGCATTTATTTGAACAAACTTGGTAGGCATCCACTAGAAGATGTTTCATGCTAAATATCTAATCTATAGCAGTTTTGGATTGTCACAAGAAGATTTTTAAGTTTTTACTATATGCATATAAGGAAAACCAATGACACCCTGAGAAAGGGTCAATTTTTGGATTTTCACAAGAAGAATTTTTAAGTTTTTACTATATACATATAAGGATAATCAATTGGCCTTCAGGGTCAGCGTCATTTTTAAGTCAAGGACTGTGTAGTTAACTTAAAGGTCTATCCTAAAAGAATTTTTTGTTCAAATTTGAGGATAGTGTTTTGGTCCAAATATCCTGAAAATTTGTCAGAAAGGTTTGAACATGGGTTTTTTCCA